TATGTTTTTCTTTGCATTTCTATTTTGTTTAAATGTTGAAATCAATGTCCAAGCCGTGGGCGATTCTTAGCTGCGATGACTTCTGCTCATCAGCTGCGGATCCCAAGTTCCTCGTCAATCTTTATCTCTCTTAGTCATAGACAAGGGATTCCAAACAAACCATAACTCATACACCACCCTCTCAGAGCCAGAGGGGTGTTAACCCATACCCATCATCACAGAGTTAACGCCCTTATGACTCTTAGCAGATGATATGATGTGCTGTAGTTGTCAATGCTCCCATCAAATGCTAGTCCCTTTTTACCAATATACTTGAGGCGCATGTAAACAAGACCATATGGCTGCAATCATACCTTGGTCTCTAAGGTAGAGGATGATCATGGACGTATGATTGGAGAGGAGAAGGAGAAGATGATTTGAGGAGAGTATGGAGAATGGGATATATGCACTATTGATGTATGATCTGTTGAGTGCCAGAAGGGTGTTATTCCATATCCTTTAATAGAGAGTTAATACTATTCTGGTGCTCACACTCAAGAGAGAGAGAGAGAGAGAGAGAGAGAGAGAGAGAGAGAGAGAGAGAGAAAGAGAAAGGGAGAGAAATAGATAGAGAGAGAGAGAGAGAGAGAGAAAAGAAAGAGAGAGAGAGAGAGAGAAAGAAAGAGAGGGAAAGTAGTAAAGATTACAAGGGAGATGGACTTTACACAACATTGGGTGGTTCACTCCTTATACAGCGGTTTTGTTAAGTTGTGTACACAAAAATTACACAATTATAGAACACATTTGCAGAGTACAGTAGTGTAATTCTTTTGTTTTAACAACTTAACACAGCCTCTGTGTAAGGAGGAGTGATGTTGAAATGTAGAGAGTTATTGCCCTTCTGGTGCTCACAATTATTTAATTTCTTTGGGAGGATGTGGTATTAAACACAACATCATTGAGGATCAATGGGGGGGGGGGGGGGGGAGAAGGATCGAGAAGGAGGAGAAAGGAGAGAGAGGAAGAGACAGAGTGGGGGAAGGGAGACATATCACAGTGCAGAAAGCAAGAGAGAGTGAGAGAGAGAGAGAGAGAGAGAGAGAGAGAGAGAGATAGCAAGAAAGAGGGGAAGTAGTAAATATTAAAAGGGAGATGGAGAGAGGAAGTTTGGCAAATGAAGAGAGGTAGACATACATGTATATACATGTAAATGATCCAGTCAAGTTTCTCAGGTTTATAGTATCTCTTTCATAATTTTCTAGAAAATTTGCAATTGCCTTACAAAAATGTAACTGATCAGACATTCTTTCATCGTCACCCAGGCTTGCATGATGTAGTATTCTCTAATGTGTACCTAAGCAATAAAGATGCTTGATCTATAGATTGATTGATTGATTGTTAGCTCTTAGCAATACAGTGATGCATGACACTTTAGGAGTTCCTTCGTAATCCAGGGGAGAAAAAAAACCCATTAAAATCATTATTATTTCTCACTGCCAAGGTTACCAGCCCTAAATATCCTTCAAAATTGAAGAATAAAAAGCCCTTACTTACATGTAGGTATTGGATTTTATATACTTTTAACAACACAAAAGTGCATTTATATTAAAGCTATATTTACATGTAGCTTTGAAAATATTTGACATGGAATAGCCTTGCCAATGCATGTAATGAATTTCAGTCCTGATGGTTATGAGAAGCAACTTGGTAGTATAATTCTTTTTATCAATCGTATATATGTCAAGTTTTAAGTTGCTTTGTAATTAACCTTTCTCCATGCTATCAAAGGGGAATAGGCTTCATTACAATGGACAAATAATAATGATAGCAACATCAAGAATAACAACAATAGCAACAACAATCATATTACTAACCCGGATTTAGCCTACATTGTATCTACTATGAAAAGGTGCTCAAGCATTCAAGGAACTTATACCTACTGGAAACCAATTTACATAACCTGGGTGGAGAGTGGCAAATGAGGATTAATGTCTTGCCAAAGCAGAACTCGCTCTGCACACCATGTGCTTCACAGTCCGGCCCTGTCCATCTACAGCAAGACTCCTCTTCACAAGTGCTACACATCAGTGAACCTGTCAGTAATCATAATAATAATGAATAATGCAAATAAAATATCGGACCCCCCTTGACTTTCACAAATGCTCTGGCATCGCCTTCAACAATTAAACCCCTACCCTTCACTCAAAAGCATTTATCAACCTCTGCAGCCCATAACACAGACATCAAACATCAGTCGTTCATTTATCAAAATGCCCAGCCAGACATCACTAATATTCCACACACCACCTCCACTCTCCATCCTCATTCATAAACCAGAGGACAATACTCTCGTTTCCATGGCAATCGGGATGAAAGGGCTCGTAGGGGTGTGAGATTTGGCAAATTCGTAGACTAATTCACCTCCATTGTGGTTGGCTCATGAATAATAGGATAATTGCCAGACCTAGCAATAAGCTGGTCTGGGGGTTTTTGATTGAGAGAGGTATGGTGGTGTTTGTCTGTTTGCGGTATTGTTCAAATTCTTTTCATGTTGGGATAATAATTTGGCGTGAGTCACAGTGAGTAGGTGATCCCCGGTCTTTGTACTTTCATTGGAGTTGGGATGGTGGTATGTCATTAAACTTTAATGTGTTAAGTGAGCGGGATGAGAAAATTGGAGGATTGGTTCAGGGTATGGCAGAAACCCATGTATTCACTTTGTGTCTGTGTTGAATGAAAGTGGTGAAGTAGATTAATGTTTTAAATGATGGGTAGACTCTTTCATTTCACTTAAAGTAAAACAAGGATAGTGGCTGACTAATTGATAATCAGAGAGAGAGAGAGAGAGAGAGAGAGAGAGAGAGATATCTTTGTATAATCAATTATTTGCAACTAGATATTATAAGACTTAGACACGTATGCATGCACAATTTAGGAGAAGAGGGAGGGGAGTGGAAGAAAATGAGCAAGAGAGAGGTAGAATAAGTAATGAAGTCATTAATATTTAATATCCTAAAAATAATTACTTATCTGAAATCATCCCAAGTCATAGATATACCTATGAAAATTCTCAGAAATAGACTTCAAGATCACCTGTTTAATATCACATTCATCCTTGATATTACAGGTCTTTATATTCTACAAACCTCTCAGTTTAGCCTATTCTTTCCCCCTATCTATATTCCCCATACTGACTGATGACCTGAATATGTAAAGCACTTAACCTACCAGCCCCAATGTATTGATCACCCATAGGTGTGTTCATACAAACCAATATATTAGAGAGAAGCATGCGTTGACAGTACCAGTACATGCATTTTTAACAAGATGTGTAAACCCAGTCCTGTGTTAATGCTATTCTCAACCCATTAAATGTTAAGCATGAGATATCAATCTGCAATGCAGTCCAGTACCGTTTTGAATTCTCTCTCTCACTCTCTGTCTCTGTCTGTCTGTCTGTCTGGCTGGCTGTATGTATCTCTCTCCCTCTATTTCTCTCTCTCTCTCTCTCTCTCTCTCTCTCTCTCTCTCTCTCTCTCTCTCTCTCTCTCTTTACATATTTAAAAGGTGATGCAAGTTTTGCATTTTGTGAAGAAACACATATTGTGTGTTTGGAACCAGAAGGGTGTCAACTCATATACACAGAGTTAATGCCCTCCTGGCTCTCAGCAGACAATACATTACTACATGTATACACCATCTTTAAAGATGTCTCTCTTTTTCTAATTTAACAAATAAAAATGAAGTAAAAATATGATTCCAGTTTTGCAACTTTATTTAAACTACATTTTTAGATACTATCTTGAGAGCTAGATGAGCATTTAACTCTGTATTAAAGTTAATGCCCGTCTTGCTCTCAATATATGATTTACTAAGTGTGAACAAGGCCAAATTAATACCAAATCATGACTAGACTAAATTATGTATTCAGTACATGGTTAAGAAGAAGGTCTGGGATTAAAGTACAGTATGAACGTGCCTTTGACCTGACTGTGTCAAGTGCTTGTGGTATTGATTCTCACCCATTGACTAGATAACCTCATTGTGTCAAGTGTTTGTCAACAAAAAGGATTTGTGGCTTTTTAAAGCCTCCCTTTATTGTGAGTGTGAGTTAACCAAGTTAACACCTTTTAAAGCAAGTGTATTGTACAAGATGAGTCAGTCATTGTCACATTGGGGTTATAATGCTAACAAAAGTATGTTCAGCGTAAGACAAAGAATACAAGGAAAAACACTTTGAGTTTACCCTTTTCTTACATTCTAATGCCTGTACTGTGGTTTCTTGAAAGTAACATGATATCAATGATAAAATGGTAAACCTTATATTTTATATTTCAATAATTTTCAAAACAAAGGAATAAAGATCTGTTTAACAAGATATGAATGCAGTTCATGCTGAACATGACCTTTTGTATGATAAAAAGTATGATTCCCTTCATGTAGTTAAATGAATGTGGTTCCCATTGAAGAGTTCACTGACTAATGACCCCCCCCCCCCCCCTCCCCAGCTTTCTCACATAGTCTAATCACCACAGATCAAACAGGTTGCTAACAATAAGGACAGGCTCTACCCTTGTCCTTTCAACAAGGGGATACTCAAGTGAGTCTAAGCATGGTCTAAGTCCTACTGATAAAGGGACTTAGACTTGAACTTATGAGGGTACGTCCCAATCTCTTTGGTCAACAATCTTGTGTTGTATCATCATAGAATCAATGGCTGATCTGTGATTAAACCGGATGGAAACAAAGAAGATTTGTCTTATGGACAAACATAGACATTGTCAAATACTCTTGACCTGTTCTCCTTGACTCAATGTAAAGACCATGTCAAGACAGAGTATGGGGATGTTGAAGTGCATATGGTTGGACCTGTTACATGTATAGGCTCCTAGATGTTCTCTACTATCATAGATAGGCCCTACTACACAATGGTTGACTTATGGTTTATTAGGATCAAGATATTGCAGACTTGATGTGGAAGGTTGTGTCAGTGTATCATCTTCAGAGCATTCACAGTAAGAACAGTTCTTTTCTGCCCATCAACTCACTCAGCTTGAAAATCTGGAAGTTTTTTAATTCCTACAATCATTTCTCAATTAATTTTTGCTAATATCTATATGCCTTGTGAACTTGCTTAGAATATGGATATTCCCCTGCAGAAACAGGAGAATAAAGGTGTCTTAGTGATCTGAGTGGCCAGTATTGCAATATGGATTATACCTGTTTTTTTTAAAGGAGAGTCTTTGTCAGAAGATTGTATTTGGAGTTTGGCGAGGTAGATGATTGCAGAACTGAACAGTGTGTTACCTCTAATCTTTGTTATCTTTGTATGTCTTTTGAGAAAGAGAGTGATGAACTTGTTCTACCAGGATTCCCAAAAGATGATTTTGTATTGACCATTTGAAGAGCGTGCATTGGAATACCCTGATATTAAACTCACTGGAAATAATACAAATATTCAACCATCTCCATTTTGAAAATTGTTAACGAGCGCAGGATTCTGGATTGATTTTGAACCTTGTATCTTCAGGTTCAAAGACTCCTGAGGAACCACTGAACCAGTTATCCTCTCTCAGTAAACTTCAACGAAGATTTGATTGCCCCGAGGGCAGCATTAGACAAACTTGAATCCCCTTGACAAATTTAAACCATGACCTTTAGCGGGATCGCATCTTCTCCATCACACCTGGATTTCATTCCAAGCTAGTTGATCTTCTTTCATTTCCTGGTGAGACTTCATTTTAAATCCTTTGCCCAGGGCCCCTATCTTTCTCTTTACTTTTATTTTGTTGGAGACTGAAGAAATGTAAACAACTGTTGAGTCGTTGCATTTTTATTTTATTTTGAAAGGTGTACATTCAACCTGAAGGGAAAGCCCCCCCCCCCCCCACCTGCGAAGGTGCCTTGTCATTACAATGCAAAACATCATTTTGTTTTGCTACATCAATTTTTTTCTTTTGTTTCTTTTTCATTGTTTTAGAGTTTGTTTGCTAACATCTTTTTTGTAGCAAAAGTGAGGGAAATGGCAGAATGGTCTTTTATAGTTTGCACAAACAAAACACAGAAGTGGACTTCAGCATAATGTTTCTACAAGTTCTGTTAATTGTGACATTCTCCCTTAGTATATGGTGACTTTTCTTTTGAGAGGCTATTCACTTTCTGCAGCTTCAATGAAATATGATAACCCATACGTATTAGGAAAAAATAATATAAAGTTACTTTGGAGAATTGAAGAAAATGAGAAAGCTGAGGAAAATGTGAAAACCAAAGCATTGCTATATAAGGGAGGAATCATGAGAAAAACAAGAGAAATTGGGTGAAAATAATTACTATACAAAACATGATGGAACTCATTCTTGGTACAGCTTGCCCAAAATCCAATATTTGTCTTCTTACTCAGGAGTTATTTTTCTCCCAAATAGCCTTAAATGTGGATACAAGCAGACCAAAATGTGTGCTTCATGCAAACACTTAGAATGAAAGTGGAGTTGACTTTGCAGGGTTGATGGGTGGATGAGTACCTAGCCAAGATATTAATTGATCAATGAATATGGATTGATCCTTCATAGATGGATGTAATGTTAATTTATGGTTCATATGGGGGGAGATGAGAAAAGAAGATCGACTAGTTTTACTATATTTACTCATTTTATTTGCAGTAAGTTCTTTAATTAACTTATGCTTTTGTAGAGTTTGATTCAGAACACCCAATCACACATTATATGAAACTATTTTTTTTTAGCGATGGAAATAAAAATTTCCAAGTGTTACCTTGAATATAGTTATTTACAAAATGCATTGCTAGCAATATGCAAATTGTAAAATAATAATTTTGTTTAGCTGTAAGTTGTTTGATATTGAAACATATTTTAATCCTAATTGTGTTTTCACTTCATCAATATAAATAACAACTATTGAAATATATCTCAAATGCAGTGCATTTTTTCATTTATCTTTTTAATATAAACATTGAGCGATGATATTGAACTTTCTGGTTCATGACCCCATTTTTAGTTTCAAGAAGAAACCAGAGCTCATATCTTTTTCAATGATGATTATGAACATTATTGCAGTTTGGATTGGATGAAATCATCGTCAGGAATCAAAAGGGTTAACCATGAATTGTAGAGAGTGCCTTGGTATAGAAATATCCATCTCCCCATTGACAAATTGAAACATAGTGTTTGTATGAGGAGCCTTCATTCATCAGCTGATCAAGGCAGGGCAGGTCCATAAATAATCACTCTTTTCATTGTCACGACCAAAGTGCTAAACAAACAACCAGCACAGATCAATATTTCATTTCCTACCCCAGTCAGCAAGCAAGAAGACAATTTGATGGACTGAGAGCTCACTGTAACCAAGCAGTTTGTAACATATCTTCAGATACATATAGATGGTAATGTGTACTCAGAGCCAGAAGGCATTGGCTCTGTGTTAAAAGTATATGAGTTAATGCTCTTCTGGCTCTCAGCAGATTTGAAATAGATTTAAGAGCTGAAAAACCTGTAAATTTAATGAAAGGAACATACTAATAAGAATGATATTAGTATATATATATATATATATATATATATATATAGAGAGAGAGAGAGAGAGAGAGAGAGAGAGAGAGAGAGCTTCATCATATCCAAGCATTGTAAGACATATTTTTAGATACAAATAGATGATAGTGTCTGGTCAGAGCCAGAAGGGTGTTAACTCTGTGTAAAAGCATATCGGTTAACAGCCTTTTGGCTCTAAACAGACAATCTGGTGAAAGCCACAATGTTGATGATATAAATGAATATCATATCAATTATGAGAAAGGCAATGATTGAGAAGGAGATATTTTCATGAATAGAGTTCTGGTGTATTTTAGCAATTTCATTTGTAACTCTAGATACAAGTAGATAGTGAGTAGAGTGTGAGTAGAGTGCCAAAAGGGTGTTAAAGTGTGACATTTAGCATCAAGAGCTTATGCCCTTGTTGCTCTCTGTGGATAAGGGGATAGATAAATTGAGTTGTATGAACACAAATTAAATGGAAAGGAACATATGGGTAAGAGTGTTTCTAGGGTGAATTGGATGGACAAACCATAAATGTATCCTTTAAAGTATCCTTGGAGACCAGTTAGTGATGAGAACTCGTGAGTAACTTAGCAGCTTGGGAGATAGCTTGATATATTGAGATAGATAGACACTACAATGGAGGACATGTACATGAAAAACAGTTAATGAAAGAGAAAGAGAGAGACTACTACAGCATTTATATGACCATTGATCTTGTATGCTATTCTGAGGCGCGGGAGAAGTGTGAAACAGAAATGGGAGAACTATCTGAGAGTTTGAATAGAAGGAAAAAAAAGTTTGAAAGAGGTGTAGATATAAATGAAATGATATCTACAGAGAGAGAGAGGGAGGGAGGGAGGGAGAGAGCGAGAGAGAGAGAGAGAGAGAGAGAGAGAGAGAGAGAGAGAGAGGGAAAAAGGGGGGGGGGGGAGGACAAGAAGATTTGATATGGAGCAAAAAGAAAAATTTTGCTCATCATGAGTCATATTATTATTTTTAATGTGTTTCGTTTATTTAGTGTCAAAACTAAATTGTATGCATTAGCACCTGCCCTGGTATGACAGTGCTATTTCTCCATTATCCAAACATTAAACAGATCATAACAAAAAACGTTTTCTTGCATTGTCTGTTGGTGTTTTAATTCATGTCTTCTTTCAGAACTAAACTGTTAAAATCAACATCATATACAAACTTTTTTAACTCTTCAGGTTGAAAATTACCACCTATGTGCAATATTTTTCTTGATAGTTTTTTGCACTTGCTTGTTAGTACTCCACATCTCGTTTCTGACCTTATTTCTTCTTCTTCTTCTTGATTTAGATCTACACTGATTGGGCGAATCACTTCTTAGAGAAGGCAGGGAACACCAATGTTATCGCTGATCTTCAGGTTGATATCGCCAATGGAGTTCTACTATCCCACGTCATTGATGCCGTCAGTAAGTTACCATCAAATATCCTAAAACCCAAGTTAGCCAATATATCATCGCCTCTAAATAATAGTCCAGGGCCGGTATTCAATTCAATACTTAGCATAAGTAAGAATTTTACTAAGTAAATGGCTAAGCTAAGAATTTTTCTTATTCTCATATTCTAATTGCATTTTAGACTTAACCTTACGTAAGACAAAATCTAAGTAAAATACTAACTGATAAGCATTGTGTCATCACACAGACAATCAAAAGTAAGGCGCAATTAATGCGTTGATATAATTGTGCGCAGGTTATAATACTGCGTAAGAAAATCATTTGCCTGGCAATCAAGGCCTCCAAATAATTGGCCTAAGTCTGGTAGGGAGCTAGCTGTCTTAAATATAGGGGAAAATGTCTAGCCAAAAGTTTGAATTGAATACCAAAATTGGCTAAGTATTTTATCTAAGCCATATACTTAGTAAAAAGCCTAAATTTTGTACTTAAGTATTGAATTGAATACGGGCCAGATGACTCAGACACAAGCTACTAATAATTCATGTTTGCTCAACTCCTTTTGAGAATATCTGAATTTGATACCTTACCACAATTTTAGCAAAATTAGCAAAAGCTTAAAAAATGGTATAAATAACAGCTTATACATTTGGGCCTACCACTTTTAAAACTGGTGGGGTCTGGATGATGTAGTACAAAGTGCATTACTCCACTTCTTGTCAAACAGGAGTTTTTACACGAGCTGAAAGAGAGATTTGCTGGCATGCCTTGGGTGTCAAGAAGCATGAACGATAGCCAACAATAAACTAACATTTTCTAAATAAAAACCTTGTCAAATAAATATATTTCTGTTTTTTAAGACTAGGTAATGTATGCAATTAATCATGAACTAGTATTTATGACCTATAAACTGCCGTAGTTATTGACATTTTAAGCAGTATTTTAGAGGCCTTTAGTAGAACTACTTCAGAACTCAGTGAAGTGGAGGAATAACATCTGAGTGGCGAATCATAGTCCTGATCTCTAGACTTACAACCTGTAAGATGTTATATCGAAAAGCTAATATGAATTTCCCCAGGTCTTGAGTTGATCAAATTCTAGGAAAAATCAATTTCATTTGGATTGATAAGTCAATCATTGCAGGAATACCCTCAGATTCGTGATCACAGGTTGCTGATAAGAGATAAACTTTCTCCATCCTGATTTTCTACCTCTCCCTACCCTCTTCTTTTATCACCCTGTAAGAAGGAAAGAAGCCTCTTCCTATGGAGGAAGACAATCAATCTTTCCCAAGATGCTCATGATCGAGGCAATGATGCATCGACCATCATCAATCCTCTAATGTCCTTAAAGGGATTGGGTAACTTTGCCTCAGATTCTGAAACAAAATTCTGGATTTATAGCTCATGCTGCAATCAAAATCATAAACCTTAAAGGTAAAGACCAGTAATGGTCATGCGATTGCATTGTGAAAGAAACGTTGTGGAATCGATCAGAAAAGGTTGATCATCTAGCATCTAGCATCTGCAAGGTTCTGGAATCATCAAAATGATAAGAAATTTGGCCCATTCTTCGTAAAGTTACAAGCACTATACACAGAAAGATGTATATGGGACTACCCTATCTCTCTCACCAGACCATGAGAGAAATAAGTTTACCAAATATATGAATTAGTAGGCGGTTTCCCGGCAAATTTTTATCATCATGTATTAGTCAAAACATATTCTTTCACATGATTGGTAATGAGAGCTTCCATTTCATTTTTTGAAATTGGGGCGTTGCCAATACTGGTCTTTACCTTTAAGGTCAGTTAGGAATCCCATGACTTTTACAAGCCGATCTCATGTTTGATTATCAAGATAGTTATGAATGGAATTCAAAATTTCAAAAATGGTTTTTGTAACAGTATTTAAAACACTACAGTTTTTTTTGGGGGGCACTTCTTGAATATTTGAAGCACAATTTTTTTAGGGCTTCAATATTACACCATATCACAGACACTAATAATGTGTAGGGCCGTGCATCTCAGATTTAACATTGTTAAACAATGCCTTTAAAGGGAACAGATCATCCAAGAAAATATACATGTATATGATGTTGCTCTGTGTACTCAAAACTAGCAACCTTCAAGTGCCTGAAGTTTGCGTAAGTGGTTCAGATTTATGACAGTTTCATGCTGCAGAGTAATTGAATCACAGTTAGACATTCATGTGTATTGAGATGGAGTGAATCTATAGGCTATTTGCTTCAATATTTTAATGTTTTAATTCAATCATCTTGTCTTTCCCCCACAGCTAATGAGAAAGTCGCTGGGATCAACCCCTCTCCTAGGACTACTAGTCAGATGGTAAGATTCTCTCTCAAATACATCTAAGTTTTGTTCACCTTTTTTGTGCATTAATGCCTGTCTGCAATAGTTTGGCCAGGGGATTAGACCTCCCTGCAAGGTCACTGACAGGTGGTTATCTCATCAAATCAGCTCTCAATTAACATAAGAAAAAGGGGATCATGGGGGACCAACAGGCACCTATTAGGCATTGTTTGCTATATAGAGGGCGCAAGTAGCTATATGTAGTGCAGTCCCGGCCCCCCACTCAGGGGTCGGATGACCGCATGCGTGTTGCCAAAATGTCCGGTAAAGGGGTACTTTTCGTGCGACAAAGTCCGGCGCGAGAATTATAAAAAAATGGGGTGTATTTGACTTTTCACCCGGAGATTTCTTTAAAAAGGGGGTGTTTTTATGCCTCCGCCACCGAAGGTGGTGCCGGAGGCATCATGTTTTCGGGTTGTCCGTCCGTACGTCCGTACGTCCGTCCGTCCGTACGTCCGTACGTCCGTCCGTACGTCCGTCCGTCCGTCCCGTTTGACCGTTATCACAATATCTCAAGAACCATTTAAGATTTAAACTTAAGACTCAGGAATAGTATTAATCACCATAGGAAGACGATCTGATTAGATTTTGGAGTACGTAGGTCAAAGGTCACAGGTCACAGAGGTCAACTTATGAAATTCCTTGTATTGAGTTTGTTAGCGCGATATCTCAAAAACCATTTGAGATTTAAACTTCAAACTTAAGGATAGTATGTATCACCATAGGAAGACGATCTGATTAGATTTTGGAGCACGTATGTCAAAGGTCAAGGGTCACAGAGGTCAACTTATGAAATTCCATACATTGAGATTGTTATCATGATATCTCAAGAACCACTGGAGATTTAAACTTCAAACTTAGTGCTAGTGTGTATCACTATAGAAAAACAATCTGATTACATTTTGGAGCACGTAGGTCAAAGGTCAAGGGTCATAGAGGTCAACTTATGAAATTCCATACATTGAGATTGTTATCATGATATCTCAAGAACCACTGGAGATGTAAAAACTTCAAACTTAAGGATAGTATGTATCACCGTAGGAAGACGATCTGATTAGATTTTGGAGCACGTAGGTCAAAGGTCAAGGGTCACAGAGGTCAACTTATGAAATTCCATACATTGAGATTGTTATCATGATATCTCAAGAACCACTGGAGATTTAAACTTCAAACTTAATGATAGTGTGTATCACCATAGGAAGACAATCTGATTAGATTTTGGAGCACGTAGGTCAAAGGTCAAAGGCCACAGCGCACATTATGAATGCAAAAACAGCTTGTGATCGCGTTATCTCAAGAACCGATTGATGGATTCATGCCAAAATTAGGTCATGTTTGTTACTTGCAGAGCCAATGAACTGAGTAGATTCTTGGTTCATAAGGTCAAAGGTCAAAGGTCATGGGCCCATTATGTATGCAAAAATAGCTTGTGAACGCATTCTCATTAGAACTGACAGATGGATTACTATTTAACTCAGAACATCTTGCAGAGCCAATGAACTGAGTAGATTTTATGGTCATGAGGTCAAAGATCAAAGGGTCATATATGTATATGAGAAATTGCTTGTAATCACAATATTCTGAGAACCTGTCAATGGATTACCATTGAACGTGAATTCAATTTTTTTTTTCTGTTTTGGTTTGTAAAATTGCTCTATAACGGAGGCATCATTTTCGACTGCGTGCAGTCGAATTCCATCTAGTTTCTTTTTTTCTCTCATCTCTTTGGACTCCTGAGAAATTATTCCGAATTTAGGGGGGGTACATTGAACATTTTTCCTGATTTAGGGGAGGGGGGGGGGGGGTCTCCAAGGCAGGAAAAGCCCGCGAAAAGCCCGCAAAAGGGGGGTTCGAAAATGTTGGCAGTCCTCAGATAGGGGGTGCATGCTTTCAAAAAGAGGGAACGAGCTTATGCATACCCTAAATAACACTGAGTGGGGGGGGGGGGGGCGGGAGTGCAGTGGGGCTTTAACTAATTACCATTTAATTGTTGTTCGGCATGATAGTAATGACAGCATTAGTTTTTAATCTCAATGTTCTGCCTAGCATTTATAATACATATCCCTAGGTGTATTCATAATGTTAGCATGTAATACTGGTTGTCAACCAATGATCAGATATTCAAGCCTACAGCATATCCAGGTTGAGCATACACTGACCACCAGAGGGCAGCATTCCACTTGGGATACCCCTGATGCCCTCACTCCAAACAGCCTAGTCACATTGTTGATATCACTGTCAATGGATATTTCATGTTTATAGCTATAGATTGTTATTGGCATTAAGATTTTGTGACAGAATTTCATTGTCTATCTGGATTCACCCTGGCTGTGATGACAGTCCCTGCCACTAGAAATTGACTCTTGGATGATTTGTCTTTATTTTTTGTAAATGTTTTAATTAGTGTTATGAGAGTGAGAGGAAGATTGATTTTGAGAAAATGAGAGGAGTTGAGATGGAGGATTACAGATAGAGAAACTAGAAAAGAAAGAAAGATAGAGGAGGGGGGGGGGGGGAGGGAGCTAGCGACGCATAGAGCTTTTAGGAGGGTATAACAAAAGACACACACTAATGAAAACTGGGGTTAATTGTTCATTTTTAAGTACGCTGTAAAGTCATTAATTGAGGAAACGTGCATGAGGAGTCCACCTAGACATTATGGAAGAATGAAAACAACAAAGTAATAAAAGTCTCGCAGATGCTACCATCTTTTATTGCATTCATTCCTTAACCTTTGCTAAAAAGAGGCTATTTTCACTTTTGATAATTCCTGTTTCATATCACAAGTATAAAAAGAGACAATTTGTGATGGAGCCATCATCTTTAATCCCAGAAAACCCTGGAATCTACTCTCTTTTGAAAACAAGACCTGTCATCTTACACAGGGTTGGCATTGTGTGATGGATTTGATTCCTACCGGCCAATCAGGCGTGGGTTTGAGGGAGGGCCCCTTGACTGTGGTTCGGAAATTCCAGAGAAATTAGAGTAGAGGCTTGATGCATGCTGTGAGCCTATTAGGAAGCTGTATGGTCCTCAAGGGTTGAAGGATGTGGAGTGAGACTGAGAGAAAAAAAATGTTTTCCAGTGCCTATTGCTAGATTGGTATAAACAACATCATTGCAAACTCTTATTCTACCCTTTTTATCATGAGGTGTTCAAGTGAAGTATTTTATTGTTGTGTTTGTTTTGTTGTTGCTGTTGATATTTTTCTTCTTGTTGAACATGTTTAGGTAAATCCTGTAAACAAAAATTACCAGGTGAATCACAGATAAGACTTTTATTTAGTGAATGAGGAGAGGCACTTTTTTGAGGAGGTGGGGGAGGGGGGGGGGGGTAACAAAATGAAACAAACAATTATACATATGTATCTGTTAGTGTGCATGGCTCCTATGTTTGATAAGATAAACACAAATTCAGTTTCGCATTTTGTTTTTGGAATCATTATATTAGGTAGAATACATCCTAACAAATTTTTGAAAGAAGATTATGTTCTTAAATCTTTAAACCTGCCTATAATAGGTAGATATAGGTAGAGAAGTGTGAACCATCTTCATCTTTGAAGTCCGAAGAGGGACAGCACTTTTGTCTCAGTCAGGGGTCCCATTTCAAACCAATGGTGACAGGACACAAATGGTGGTAGAGCCCTACCCCCCCCCCCCCCCCCTCTCCTCTTCAATCTTGTAAAAACTTGTATTAAATTTGTGGTATTCTCTCAGCTTGGGGTCCCATTTCAAACCAAGGGTGACGGAACTTTCTCAGCGGAATACGCCTCGTCAAGCCCCCCTCCTCACTAGTGCATGGAGAGATGCTGTTTTCTCATTAACTGGACCTTGCGGGTCGCGTGCCTCTTAGTACCCCTTTGTACCACTCTAGCTTGAAAGGACCTCCTTATTATCCCTTCTTATCCTTGTGAAGATGTGGGTGAAGAAGATAGTTTGTAAGCTGAAGAAGGACCACACAAACAATAATATGAAGGAAGATGAGGGAGAAGGAGAAGAGGGCCGGGAAGGGATTGAGAGAAGGAGAAGAGGGGAAAGAAGAAAAGAAAGAGAAATAGGAAAAGAAGAAGCAGAAGAAGAAAAAGGAGAAAGAGAAGAAGAAGGAGAAGGAAAAGGAGAAGGAGAAGGAGAAAAGAGTTAAAGAAAGTCACATGAAGAATCAAGGTCTAACCTTGTGAAAATGGATGTATACATGTATATGATCGATATGAAACTATCTTGAAAAAACGTATGAAAGAAATATAATCAAGACAAACTGACCTTGTTTTATACAGGCATACATTTAGATATTTTCACCAAGTAGAGAGGATATCATTAATTTTCAGTCATATTCTCATTTCTACCAGTCTCCTGACAAATAATTGACACGTGGTATTGTAATTTGATACTACCCCTCCACGTGCCGTGACTTGAGAATGAACTTCATCGTTTTGAGCCCAGAGGGAGGCTAGACCTAGCCTCAATCAAGCCAGTTTTCAAAATTAATACAAATTATATTGATAAACAAGAAAGTATTTATGTCTCACAAATATTCTGTAGTGCTGTGCAGGAAAACTATGAGGTGAAAGGAGTTTCCTATTAAAATAATAATGGAAACTCTTTAAAAAAAAAAAATACATATCCACCTAAGTAGTAATCTAAGCATCTTGTAGTGTACTATTATCCCAGTCATTTGATTCAATTAATTGTCTGCACTTACAGTGCTTCCACTCCACACAGGAGTATTCTTGTCACAATTGGATTACAATCTTACCAGGTTCCATTTAAAACATGGATGGAGAGAGGCAATATAGATAAAATGCCTTGGTTTTGTCAGAGCTCCGCGCCCATGACCTTTGCATCCCCAGTCAAGTGATCAAACCGCTCGATGACGGACAAGACACCTCCACTGACCTCTATGAGAGCCTTGATATGAGACTAGTTCACAGTTTGAACTAGGAGTAGATTAGTCCTAGAGGCATGTGTGTACACACATCATCAACAGATCAATTGATTGTGTACACCAGATCAGAGCTACTCTCCACCTATTTCATGATTACACATGGACCTTGGAAACATGCCTTGTCGCTTGGAGGAATATATGAAGCCGGAATATATACATGTAACTGGAATATATAACTGGAATATATAATTGGAATTTATATAACATGGCAGAAGAAGGAATTTATGCAGAGTGTGAGGTGTTTGGTGTAATCCAGTGAATGATCGTATAGGTAATGTAGTAGTAGATTACAAAATTTGCATGTTATCTGTAAAAGCCTAGGGATGTAATGGTATAGATTGTGGATTAATGTCAGATATAGATCTTATGGATAGGGAGGGAGAGAAAGAGAGAGAGAGAGAGAGAGAGAGAGAGGGCGGCATTAATTGTCGGAACAAAATGGAAAATGAATGAAGAGAGTTAGAGAGAAAGACACACACTATACAATTGAGAGATATAGTGACAGAGGGAGAGAGAGAGAGAGATAATAGAGAGAGAATGAGAGAGAGAGAGAGAGAGAGAGAGAGAGAAAGACACATACTATACAGATTGAGAGATATAGTGACAGAGGGAGAGAAAGAGGTAACGAGAGCGAGAAGAGAGAGAGAGAGATTGAGATAGAGAGAGAGAGAGAGAGAGAGAGAGAAAGAGATCAAGACACATTTAAAGAAAGGTGTTAAGAATGGCCCTAGGTGGGAAACAAGGGAATAACATGGGACAATTAAACATACATGATTAGAGCGGTAACTCTGGCAGCAGAACAAACACGTACAAATCAAGTGCCAAAGAAACAATGAGAGGGAGAGAGGGAGTTAAATGTAAAGACAGGCATCATGTAGCTTAATTTACATAGACGGTGGAGCTTACCAGAGATGGCTAAACAGACAAAAATAGAGAAAGAAAATGACACACAAAGATATAATATAAAGAAAAATGAGAGAGAGAGAGAGAGAGAGAAGGGGGAGGGGATGGGGGGGGGGGGGGGGGGGGGACCTCTTTAGAGTTTATAGAGAGGTGTTAAGAACAGGGCTTAGGTGGAAAACAAGGGGTTAAAATGGGACAATTAACATACAGAATTAGAATGATAACTCTTGCACACAGAGCTTGCAGAAAAAACAACTGATAAGACTGTTTGAGAAAAAAATAAAATAAAGTGCCAACAAAACAATGAGCGAGAGAGAGAGAGAAAGAGGCAGAGAGAGAGAGAGAGAGAGAGAGAGGAAAGGGGGAAAAGGGGATGTCGAAGGAGAAAAGGGAAATGGAGGTGGAGAGACGGGGAAACTAAATAAAGTTTAAGTGTCACACTACAGAATGGTTGGGAAAAGGAAGTCTGAAAAACATATTCCCTTCCTGTGTATCGTAATTGTATCATTCACCTGTTCAGATTAGTTTCCAATGAATCAGTGTCAACAACAAAAGAAGACCATTTCTACCATACTCTCTGCTGAAGATATTGCAATATATGGAGTTATATTTTTATATGACATTTGCTTTCTTAGTAGTCATGTAAACAATTATCAACCATCAACCATCAATTTATTTTATGTATGCTATTTTTTAACCATAAAAAATGAAACATGTACATACAAATGAGTAACATAGTAAACATAATACGGTAAAGGACACCCTTAGAAGCAAATTGCTTGTGGTGGGGCCTTAAAAAGAAAAACAAACTACACATAAATTATACAGTTTAAAAACTTTAAAATAACATGATACAAACACACATGCACGCTTACACATATACATACACACATACAATCAAAATATCCTCCTCTGCTCAAACTATTGCAATGATTTGAGATGAAGCTTTGTTGAGGACACTTTTTAATAAATGATACTGTGATTTATTGTGAGCAGATACAATGTGTTTGAGCCTCTAACAGTGTGTGATATTAAATATGAATATTTTCTGCAAATTAACGTCTGTAAAAACAAAATGCACCTGTTCACTAATAAATGAGGGTGAAGAAAATCTATAATTCTATCAGCTCTAGGGGAATAAATGTGGCTAATAAAGCGATGAGTTGTTATATTGTATATTATTGATCTAAAGTCCGTTTTGTGTTATGGTATCTCTCTCTAAGCCCAACCTTGTTAATTACTCTATTATTGTTTGGAATCATATAAACATATGGTAGCAGTATTATTGATTTTATTTGAGCGCTGTGGTGTAGCACTAACCAACAAAGATAGAGGTTGTGTATGCAACAAATTCTAATCGAACAAGGACAAATGCAATCATTTTTAAATAGACTAATCATCAATACAATAATACTAGGATTCTTACAATAATTGTATTTTATATGTTTATCCAATTTCTTCATGGAATTTATTCTCTTATTTTATTCACATATATGGTAGGCTAAGAGCCAGGAAGGTTGGAAGTTATATACTTTTTACACAGTATTAATACCCTCCTAACTCACTACAGATAATATATGAAACAAATATTTACTTCAGTTGTTTTAACAAGCTTTTAACTCTGAATCTTCTTCCAATTACAATGTATTCATATATTCCTGTTTTTAATAAACCAAATAACCTTCAGGCATCCATTCACCTGATTTAAGTATACACTATATAAACCTTGCATGAATTAACTAAAAGGTTGCAGGGTAAGTACGTTTTGCTCACCGGTAGTACTCCATCATAGCCATAGTCTTGTGTCAATGTTTCAGTGATATTTTTAACAAGGACATTTGAAATTGTCATTGTTTTGTTCATGATATTTTCATCCAACTCTAAAACATGCATTAACATTATATACATGTAGATAATAGGAATTAGTGACTATTGTCTATTTTCTATAAATTTGAACCGGAGTATAGTGTTAGAAACATATATGTAGGTCTAGAGTACAACGTGACCATCAATCGGAGAGCCTTTGACCAAGGCTGTATTGCTCTCCAGTAAGAGATGGGTAAAATGGGGTAACAACGTCAGTCGCCGAGAGCAGAAATTACATCAAGCGTTATAAATAACCCAGCTGCATAATTTCCTCTCGTGTGTGATGCCTGTATGCTCTTTCATGTATGATCTTTGATGCGATGTCATTTTGGTGTGTGTGCGTCGTCGTGGTGTGTAGGGTTGTCTTATGCTAGGTACAGCTGGATGGGTTTTTATTACATGTTTATTTTATTGATGGCTTTGAGTCATGTGGTACATTATTTTTCAATCTTTAGTGTTGAAATGGGTTTAATTTTATTCATCGGGAGTCTTATTTTGTACTCATCATTTCCAATACTGCTTTAATGAATATAAAATGAATTAAAATGTGTCGTGACTAATGCCAATATTTTGTTTTCATTTGGGTCAGGTAATATGCCCATTTACATGGGAAAAAATGCTTTGTCAAGAAATTTATTTGGAATATCTGCCTTCTGCTTTTATTTTTCAAATTTTGTTTATCATTTTAACGGCTAATTGTTCAGCTGAAAATGGATAATGACAATTGAATCCTGGTATCAATTTCATGTCAACAAGGGAGCAGATGCTTTTAGGTGATCGCTTTGTTTTGAATCGCTGTTATCTTAAATCAATATTCATTTATCAATTATTGCCAACAAAATATGATAAGCTAGGATTAAACAAACAGCTGAGCGTCTGCGAGTTTCAAAATTGTTCCTTTTTTGTGAGAGTCATTCAACTTTGCAAGCTCTTACTGTCGTCTCTGCCAGTAAACACAAACCTTTAGACTTTGTTTAACGTCAAAATAGACCAAGAGGGCAGAGAATAGCTGTAACCGTTACAGTCTAGTTTTCAAATATTGAATCTTAGGACTCCATCATGTTTTTCTTCTTTTTGTTTTAGTACTTTTTATGGCGAAACCTTAATTATGGTATAGAATTCAAACTACTATCTGCTGGGAGACATTTAAGGTCATTAACCCTTTTGATTCAACAAAGAGTGACATTTAAGACCCTTCTAGCATCATCTTAAAGACAGAATGTTTCTGAAGAGTATATTTATTAGCAACTGATTTTGTCATTGTTGATGTTTTTGCTAATGGATGTACCAGTGTACATGTATCATACCCATATACTTTATGAGAAGTCTCGCATACATGCACAATTTTCTTTAAAATTGAGACTTGATTTTTTTTTTTTTAAATTTATTTATTTTATTTTTTTTGTTTTCCTTACAGATAGAGAATATTGAGAAATGTTTAGGATGTCTAAACTCTAAAGGCGTAGCAACTGATGGTCTTTTAGCCAGAGGTGAGTGGGATTTTTCCTATCTTTTTTTCGGGCGGAGGGTGGGGGCTAATTGATCTGATAATATTTTCAATGGAGTATTTGACTATTTACAAGATCACTGATTGTGTTATTGAAGTAATGCAACTTTTTTTAAACGATCAAATTAATCTTATTGTTTTTTTTGTATTTTGTTTATGATCATCATATGATCCTTTATGTATCTCTTCTTTTATAGTAAACATTACATTCCACCCATTTACATGTATTTAGTTTACTTTAGCTATGTCTATAGCATTCTTATCATTATTCCAAACTGAAACAATATTTCTGCGATACAACATTTATTTACTCTGGCAAAATTCAATATTGGCTTCATTTCATCAAAAGATGACGAATAACGGCTTAGGTTTCTTGTGAATAGTTAGTTGTTCATTGTATGGAATAACAACATTTCTGAAAAGAACACTGTCCCACCTATTCAATTCCATGTCGTGTTTCTATCCCATTCAGATCTACATCAAGGTAACCTCAAGTCCGTCTTGGGACTCTTCTTCTCCTTGTCACGCTACAAGCAACTCCTCCAGCAGGAGGATCAGGAGAGGCGCAAGAAAGCTGCTGCAGGAGGCGGGAACACGGTTGCCCAGCAACGAGCGCAGAATGCAAAACATGCTCAGGTGAGGCGAGAAGACAACGTTTGATTCTATCTCAATCGACCTCTCTGGAGGTTTCCTACCTGTGATGTATAAATAACAAGTTGCATAAATTCTACACACGGTGTATACATTATTGAGTAATGTGCCTAGTACTGTAGTAGTGAAGGCTAGGTTATTGCCCCCAATACAAAGCTCTTGCAAACACTGAGCTTGACAGTTATCACATAATTGCTTTTTTGTATATAATACCAAGGCACACAGATATGCTTGTACAGTATATATACATATACAGTATATATATTTATATCTGTATCTGTTGAGTTATACAGTTAATTGTGATAATAGCAGTGTGTTAGTAAGTATAAAGTGAACCTGATCACTTTTCTCACTCTCTCTCTCTCTTTAATTGATTGGTATACATGTTAACTTTCTTTAATTTCTACATAATGTGACGTTAATATCATTGGATCATGTGGCTCTTGCTTTGGAAAACAGAGACCACCTAACTTTAATTAAAAACAAATGAAGGAATATAAACTAGATTGAAACTAAATGCTCTGCCTAATATCCCTGTATAGGATCGGCAAGTTCAGTTTTGCTTGAGAAATATATCTCCCAATAACAAAACTTAAATTTTGTATGAAATGTTCAGACTTAAAAAATGATGATACAATTCTAGGCTCCTGTGCCCTGACTACCCCCTCCCCCTCCTTCATCCTACCATTACCATTTTCCCTGTACTGGGGTGTTTCACAAAGATCCTAAGTTGAACTTATCTCTAAGTTGGTCTTAACAATTTAGGAAAGCTATTAGCATCTTTACAAATATTTTGTAAAAGTTATTTTAAAAGGCTTGAGAGGCTGATTCAAATCATTCATATTTTCTATTATCAAGAAGATTTCATGTTCTTGATGTGGAATTTATGAAAAGTATCAAACACTAGAATTTTCGCTTTTGAATGTATTTTATTTTTAGACTACAAATGGCTCTCCTTAATTTCTAAGTCCGACTTAGAGTTAAGTTCAACTTGGGATCTTTGTGAAACACCCTCCCCCTCCCCCTCCCCCCCCCCCCCAGCAGGTGTTATATGTATTTGCTGACTAGACCAAGGTGCACTGAAGTCAAGTATAAGATGAATATAAAAGGTTTTGGGTGAATAGGTCAGCTCAGTAAACAGCTTAGTATCAGTTCTTATGTTGACTGTGTGGGATCTATAAAGGTGTTATTTCCTTGTTGACAAACAAACAAAGACATCACTAAATATATGGCAATTTCTCTGTTAAATGTCATTCCTGGTTTAAACAAGGAAGACATGACAATGATATGTAGTCACTGTTAACCTTGGGAATCTGTAGCTATCACATACTTTAGGCCCAGAGCTCTGTATAAAGGAGTTCTTTATGGAGTCAAGTTTTTACATCAGATGGTCTTCAGAGAACCATGTATACTTTGTAAAGATTGAACATTGAGCATACTTGCCTTAGCCCAGTATTAAGTCTAGAATCTACTTTGGGATATGCTACTGTTTTTAAGATGTCCTTGTTTTTCTGTTATTCCTGAAAAGGTAAGATATGATAATATATACTTTAACAAAACAAAAATTAATATAGTTTTTCATTATTGTTACTGCATCATTTTTTGTATTTATGTATTATTATAATTATGTATTTTTTTTTATATTTTTTTAAATTTATTTATTATTATTATTATTATTTTTTTTTTTGGGGGGTGGGGTGGAATGAAAAGAAAAAAATTAAAGCATGATGCATTTTTATAAATTAGAAGAAGCATCAAAGCTCTTTTTAAAGCTTGTATACATACATACATGTATTTAGCTGTGTGTACATATAATGTATATCCTGGAAAGTCAGGACACCATTTAATGTTTACCCTTGATGTCACTGTCATTGTTTCTTATTTGGAGAGGAAGAGGAAGTAGAAGATAGTTGAGAACCATGGGGGGAAACAGGAAAAGGTTTTGTCCAGGTGTGCTTCCCAGGTAGATCTATTCTGATGGAAGCTATATGAGTTATGTATAAACAGGTATTGAATGCAGTATTAGGGTACAGCATATTCCAAATATGTGTGATAGCAAGTATGAAGTCGTGTATGCATTACTTAATTGAGGACGAATTTTTGAATATGTATATTTGTTAAAATATAAACTTGTAGGTCACTATTCCTTTTCATGAGTAAGAGCTACCACTATGTCTATTGTGAGCTGAAAGGACATTAAGTGAAAAGAGTTAATATCATTCAGCCTCTCAAAAGATTTTGTAAATAGGAATCTTTTTTTTTATTTTTGGCATTCCTCAATAATGCATACTACTACATTAATTCATTGCCTGACTTTCATAATTGCATAGTTTTAATAAAAGTTATTCTCATACACTATATCTCTCTTCCTATGTATCAGCCTCCTCCACCGCCACGTCCAAACGGTCACTCCAAGCCCTCGTCGGCCCAACTAAGAGTAACAGGTGCCCGTCTTGCGGTCAGGCCTCAGGCCACGGTCAACGGAACCTCTTTGTCCTTTGGGGAACCATCATCGATCAACTCATCAACCACCAGCTTGTCAGTTGCCTCAAACCCAACCAGAACTCAAGGACGAGCTATACCCAATGGGTCAAGTCGAGCCAATGGAAACAATAACAACATAGCTGGACAAGCAGCATCAAGAATTAATGGCTCGTATCAAGGAATTAACAAGTCGTCTCAGAACTTGACCAGTGGTGTCCAGAAACAGACTGAACGACAAGTCCATGTTGGGGCAAGTAACGGCGTAACGCAACAAGCGAAGGTCGCCCCAAACCAGTCAGTCAGACGCGTCGCACAGAGCGGTGCAAGTAAAGGTAGAGAGGCACAGAGTGCAGGGAGAGCAGCGGCAAGTTCGGGAAGAGCAGCCTCACGGTCGCAGTCTCCTCCTTCACATGTCCATTTGAACGGGGCTAATAATCAAAGCAGAGGTCGAGCGACGCAGGAAAAAGAATCGACCCGTAGCACCAGTCAGCAGAAGTCGGGACGGGTGACACCCAATCCGCATACGTCAGGGCGCTCCACTCCCAACCCGCACGATAAGCTCGGGCAACCTGCCCTCAACGGATCTAGGAACACTGTAAGTGTTGATCAGCGCAGAACAGCGGGGCAAGGTCCGAAGCAACGTTCATTATCGCCCTCCGAACAAGCTCCTTCGAAACCCACCAATCACAGTACAGTCAGTAGCTCCAGCAGCCACGGGGCTAGAAGTCAGAGCGGGGCTAGTAGCTCCGGCTACCATCACTCATCCGGGCGATCATCCGGCGGGTCAGTGACCAGTATGCCCAAGCCTCAGACAAGGCCCAGCCATGGGGCTACGAGTACTGCGGGGGTTGTACGGCGGCAGCCCCCAGCCGGCTCATCCTCACAAAACTCAGGTAAGGATAGAAGGCATGTGGTCTTTGAAACATCTTCTAGAAAGTAAAGTAATGTTTGGCTGCATGTAGGCAAGACTGTTGAAATGGCCGGCAGAGAATCAATCTTAGTGACATGTATGAATGCATGAAATTCAATCTGAGATACACATGTATGTATGTATGTATGCATTGTTGTGTTATTTTATGTGTTACGTAAATGAAAATCAGAGTTGCATTTTGGTGGCCATCGAACAAGTTCTTTAAAGACACAAACTGGTACAGTTGTGTTGGAAGTTTTGCTTGGAATTAAGAAGTGAAGTTTGAAAAGTTGAGCCGCCAGCCAATTCTCTGAGGAAGCTTAATAGAATCTATCCTTGTGGATATTTGTATTCTTCTCTATATCCTTTTTGTCTATAGCTGCAAACTCCTTCATATACTTCCTCTCTCTCATGCCATCAATTCTTTAAACTTGACTGTGTATCCCCATGTTTTTAAAGCAGGAGTGACGTATTTCTCTTCAAGTTTATTTCACAATGAATCTTCTTTCAGAGACACCTCTGTAGGAACATACATACCTGTACTTCCATATCTTGCATATTGAGTACAGCATACTCCCTGTCTTGAAAAGAAGAAGAAAACATGTCTTGTTAATTCAAAAGACGTAATTCTTGACAACTTTTATCCTTCTTCACTCAACGTTTGCAGGCAATGTTCGTAGGAAAGGTAAACCGAAAAACAAATATACTCTGCGTGTATATACCTCACACTATAGTTTTGTATATTTTTATTTAATCAACAGATATTCAACCTTATTTACTATATAGATTGAATGACTTTTTTTCACTTACAACTTTTTTAATCATGTTCATTTGTTGCCAGTTCAATTTTGCTGATTTTGATCATCACACACTTTTGACATTTTCTTTCCCAGTTTTTACATTTGATCATTTCTTCTTCCTTGTATTTTGAATTTTGCATGCAGTGTGCAGTGAATCAGAGTCTAAGCAGGAAGTGCACTGTTTGATTGTCCATGTGAATTGGTGTTGCTCTATCATTCTAAATCTTAAGAAAATATGAAATATTTCTTCTTCTCTTTGCAGCATGTTCTTTTTTATTATTGAGAAGAAGAATTATAATTAATTTAACAGAATCATAAGATATCTTCCAATCTTCAAATTGCACATGAACAAATTTTCACCTAAAATAAAAAATGAATTGTCCTCTTTAATTTTCTTTGAAATCTGACAAATTTTTATAAGAGGGTGATTTTGAATGGGCAAAGATGAGTGAACATGCATTGATGAGCATTAATGCCCTTTTGTAACTAATTCAAGCATGGAATAAGCAAGAAACCTGGGAAGTGTGTCACAAAGACTAAGATCGACTCTCAGTTGGACTTAACTATGGCAGACCATTCATGCCGCTGGTTGCTCTCACCATTATAGATTATATATATTTCCTTCAATAATGAATTATAAAAAAATGTAGATTTCTGACCATGATTTGCACGTCCCTTGAGAGACTAATGCCAGTAAATGGTTAGAGAAAACAGTGGCATGAACTGCCTGTCATAGTTAAGTCCAACTTAAAGTCAATCTTATTCTTTGTGAAACACCCCCCTGTGTGATATCCTAGACTTAATTATTGCGGGTTGGTTTGCTGTGCCGTGGGCTTTGCATTAATTAACGCTTCTCATTTTCGTAATTGACTTTCTTATGTAAAATAAAATGATATCATCTTAGACTATGAGCTTTGGTAAAGCATCAACAATGAATGAAATGTAATGGATTTAAAAATAGTTTGCAGATTACTTAACTACATGTACACTGTATGATATAGCCAATTAATAAAGACCATGTCGCCCTTTGAGTACTAAGGTAACTCGGCTCAAATGCATAAATGTTAAAAATAATAATCTATCACACAGATGTAGAACCACATTGTTACTTTATGTTACCTCTGCTTACATTCAGATATGTAACAAAAGAACCTTTAATCAACAAACATCTCTGACATAAAGCTACCTAAACCAGAGATAAGTCTGGGCAAGAATCTATGAAAAATGCAATTTTATCAAATCATATTTAACGGGCCATGGGGCAGGAGGCAATGGTCTGTATTTTTAGATTGCCTGTCTTTAATTGATTCCCTTATAGCTAGCATGCATTGCAGAATACATGTACTATAAAGAACTTTATTCAAGAAAAATGATAATTAATATAGTGCATTCCGTTTGATAATATTTGTCTTTATAAACAGGTGGTCACTAAAGCGGGTTTGAATGAACTAGATTCATCTAGATTACTAACCTAATCCTAACTTTGCCCAAACCCTATCCTATACCCGTACCCCAACCCTGAATCCACATTCCACATCAAGATTTAATCTGAGTAGGACATATATGTGAACTGGTGGTTAGTACCACTTCACGTTGCTTGTTTTTGCCTGGTTGTTAACGTGCATGGTGTGCGGTGATTAATTAAGAAACATTGAATGATACTAACAGTCTCCATTTTTGCTTTATGGAACAAAGCTACCACTAAACCTGGGAACGGGGCAAAAGGTAAATTATTTCTTGTTTGTATCTTGGGTATTTAGAGGAGAAAATTATTCAGCTTTGTGATTGGTATATCATTGGCTTCAATCTCATTTTATATGAGACTACTGTCAAGCTCTGACAGAACTTGAGAGCTGTGCATTTCAATTTTGTTGTATCAAAAAGATTGAAAACATTAATCTATTAGGTGTTCTGTGCACACACAACGTTACAAATATACTGTTTTGTAAAGGAAGAATTGAAATATAAGTAGGAGAAAATGTAAGAACCATTAATGCTACGTTGTATACAGAGTAAAGATGACTATTTTTAGCTTCAGATCTTTGTACAATCACGAAATATATCAATAGAATTTGACATTTAAATGTTTACACACACCAACAAACCTAGTGTTTGTTCAGGTTACAGGAAACATACTGGTTTCCATGAATTGACAAAGTCATTGAAGAGAGAAAAAAAGACAATCCCACCGCTGCCACCAGTTAAAGATAAGACCAGTTCTGGTCATGCGATTGCATTGTGAAAGAACGTTGTGGAGTCAATCAGAAAAGGTTGATCATCTAGCATATAAGTATTGGTGTGATTCTGCAAGGTTCTGGAATCATCAAAATCATAAGAAATTTGGCTCTGTCTTGGTAAAGTTACAAGCACTGTACACAGAAATATGTACATGGGACTACGCACATGTGCGCAACACGTGCGTTATATCTACCCGGTCCAAATAGATATAATAAGTTACCAAATATATCAATTAGTAGGCGGTTTCTCAGCAAAATTTGTATGATCACATATTAGTCAAAACATATTCTTTCACATGAATTGGTAATAAGAGCTTCCATTTCATTTTTTGAGAGGGGGGGCGTTTCCAAAACTGGTCTTTACCTTTAAGAAAGGCCATAGAATAAAGGCATAGAAATCTTCCCGGGATAGTTTGTGTGAATGAAAATAACAATTAATCGTCTGGAAAATTATAAAAGATCATCAGGCTACAGAGACTTGAGGTGGTTTCTTCAATAAACAGTTTATTTAAGATATAGAATTACTCATCAAACGCGTTATTACAAATTAATTAAATCATCATACTTTTTAACCCCCCCCCCCCCGAAAAAAAATTAGAAAAATCCAGAAGTTATCAAAGAAATATTTGTAAATATATATATATATATCTTTCCAGATTTGTGTAGTTATCATTTTCAAAACAATAATGCATTTACCTGCTTTTTAAAAGATGTTGCTTCAAATATGGGTATCCTCCTTGCCTTGATATTAGGTTAATCTATTTGTAAGTGTAAAGCTTGGGTGATTTCTCATTTAGACACATTGTGTTTTGTATGTTGAAATGCATACTATGCTTTATATCATATGTTTACTCTTGTTTATATTAAAAACACAAAAGCAATGGTGTGTTGCAGTCATTGTATGCAATGTTTCATTGCCAAAAGTTTTCATCATCAATATGCTCAATAGAATCGGTCTGATGTTGTATTTAAAACAATCATGACAATTAAAAAAGGAAAAGAAACTGCTAGTGTTTAGTGGCTTTTCCATCACATCATGCTTCTGTACTCATCTTGTATATACATCATTACAGCATATGAAAAGCCATGTGTATTTTGCAAGGAGTAAATGATCAAGTTTGTAGACTAGGCATAAACTTGAGTTTTGCAATACTAGCATCTCATTTGAGATTATCTGAAGTCAAATTCAATTTTGTGGAAATATGAGTGTTTTTTAAAAATTGATTAACAGTGAAGCTATTATTGGTTAAAAGCTTTTGGGGCTTTTGTAGCAAAGAGTTTATATATCTAATGGTTAATAAGGTAGTGATTAAACATTGAAATGTTCTTGTTGCCAACACGTCATGTAATCAATATTAGTTTTGGAAATGGTAGAGAGTATCAGTGGGCCCTCTACTGCTTGGGCTTGTACATGTAGAGGCCAAGGGTGATAGGAAAATGTTATAATGTATCAATCATTTAAGCCTATTCTGCACTGTATGTTGTAGGAAGATGACCATGTTCAATGTCTTTTATTTCCAGGCTCATTCTTTCATTAGTACCATGTGCTAGTCAGGAGTGAGGTGTCATTTCCCTTCTTATTGTTGGTAAAGAACATTATGCTTTTCAATGGCAGAAATGTAGTGTGTTTTTATCATGTATGGATAGAGGGACTGTTATTACAGCAAACCTAACAACATGCCAAACAACAAAAAGTAACATATACACTTTTGCTTCTTCTTCTGCAGGATCAAGCAGTGCTCGAAGCTCTTCCTCCGATATGGGTTCCAGGATCCCCACCCCCAACAGTGGTCCTGCTGCCCCTAGGGGCGGGGGACTCAAGGCTCCAGGACAGCGTAATTCCATCGGTGCCTCGATTAGCAATGATAAGAGTCGAGGCCCCTCACCTGTTCCCAACTCACATGGTGGGTTTGGAAGGAAAAAAAGACATTTATATTAATTTTAATTACTTTTGATACAAGACAGTAAGTGCTACAAAACATGATGAATAACTTTCAACAAAGACATACTGAAACTTTGCACTCATCAGAGTAAAATGCATGAGGAATTAGGAAACTAGAACAAAATGTAAGTAGGAACTGAAATTCAATTATTTGACTAACCTAGATGCATGCTCTTCTTTTCTTGCCTGCCTGTAAATTTAGATTTTTTTTCTTAAAGAATTAATGGGTAATTTTAAGTCGGGAAAAGTAAACAAAAAGAGAATACAGTATGCATGCCAAAATCTTTTAAATCTTATTAATTTGTGTCCCATTTAATTTGATTCAGGTGCAATACCAGGATCCAAGAAGACATCATCATCTCAGGTCCACCAGTCTTCATCAGGCATCCCATCTACCTCATCTACCTCCAACATGAAGCCTCCTGGCTCCGGTCTAGCCGCACCCCGCTCCCAGACCAGAAGCCCCTCCCCTGGCATGGCATCCAAGGGCGGAGCAGGGTCCTCATCAAAGCTTGATGCTGCATCAAAGAGCAAAGCCAGGTCGAGTTCAGTGCCAGCTGGCCAGAAGGGTATTCCAACCCCTAAGAGCAGTGCAGGGGGTGCAGGCAAACCCCCTCTAGCAGCAGGTGGTGGTGGTGGTGGAGACAAGGCGGGGTCGAAGATACCCCCTGCAAACAATGGAAAGGGCTCCATGCTGACCAAGCTCAAGATATTTGGGAAGGATGGGAAAGGGCCACCACCAGCCGCTAAAGAGAAGGAACCGGAGAAGCCAAAAGATGCGGTCGTCAAGAGTAAACCTGCTCCCGGGAAGTCATCGATAGCAAAACCATTACCCCCAAAGAGAGACTCATCATCTGGTAGGCAAGCTGCACCTGCCAAGAAACCTGCTGCAAAGGAATCCAAGTTAGCGCCTCCAAGCAAGGTAGAGAAGAAGGTCAAGGCAGAGGAACCTGTGCCTGAGAGCCATGAATCCCGCGTTGCAAGAGAGAGAACAAACTCTAATGGGGCTGTATCGCCTGGCCTGACTTTGGGGTCTAGTAGCCCCAAGAATGCTCTCAAGGCTGTGGCGCAGAAAACAATTGGAAGAGCCTTTGGTGGGGCCAAACCAAGGACTTCCCCTAAACTAGGTCACAAGGAATATGTGCAATCTGATCTCAACAACAGTGACTTGAGTGATGAAGGCTCTAAGTTGCCGATGCCAGAAAGCAAGCTGAAATCTAGATTGCCATTACATAGTGGGGAAGGTGATGGAAGCGTAAAAAGCGATATATTAGAATGTGGAAAAATGAGCGGACTGAAAATGCCATCAAATAAAATGAGTACTAGCAAGGTTAAACCTGTGCAGACAGTCACAAGTCAACAGCATGGAGGCCCTAGTGGTGCCTCACAGATTCCAAGTTCAAGGGGAATTCCCAAACCAGGTAGCACGCAAAGGTCAGGACTCAAAGCCCCTGGTGCTACTGCTGCAAAGAAAACAGAACCCACTCCGAGCAGCGAGAAAGAAAGTGAGGAGAAAGTAACTTATACAAGGGGTGGTGCGTACAGTCCTGTACCACCAAAACCTCCTCTACAAACTGAACCAATACCAATACTAGATAGTGAGAAAGCCGTTGTAGAACCTAGTAAGTCCCCTGTGGTAAAGACGCCGTCTTCGGGTGGTCGTAACTCCATAACCACATCACCTAGTCACAACCGTTCCCCAGCTAACACAGCAACGGTTGCGCCATTCAACTATACTGGAAGTCGGCCCCCATCCAAGGACTGCAGCGACACGATAAGCATTGCTGCGTCTAATGAGACAGACTCGGCCAACGGCACTCCTATCCACAGCCAGATTAGTATCTCATCCACCACGAGTCAGTCTTCAGAGAACAGTGTCATCTTCCAGCCCAAGATGGAGGAAGACTTCTGCACAACTGTCTACAAGAATGACAAGGCAGTCACAACCTTTGGTAGTACGCCCAAGCAACAGCCTCGTGTCCTCAAGTCCATCCCAGACGTCCAGAGCTCAAGCGATTACAACGTGACAGTCATGAACTCGCAGGTTGGTGCCAGGCCCTCGCCGGTGCCGAACCGTGCGACTAAGGAGACAACCTTTGGTGACAGCATCACGACTCAGCTGAAGGAGCCTTCGCCGGAGGTGAGGCAATCTCCGGATATGCCCAACTCTCATCGTACCTCCAGCTTGACCCGTCGAGGCTCCTTAGGCTCGACCTCCAAGCTCAGGAGCATGTCGACCGTCTCCATACCCACAGAGTCTACCAATGATAGCACCGTCATGACAACCAAACCTGATGGCACCTACCAGCCTCTCCTTAGCAAGGGCTATCTTAACTCCATGCGACGGACCTTCTCTAACCGCTCACACCTTAATGACCTTCAGTTCACAGATCAAACAAATCAAACTCTCATCGATGACTGCAATGACTATGTGAGTGAGGATATAGCCAGTGGCTACGTGAGCGATGGCGACATCTTGCATCGCTCTGCAGGCCTTGGTGATATAGGTAGCGGTTACATGAGTGAAGGAGGAGGTACGCTGTATGCAAGGCGTATTGGGATGTCCTTCAGAGTGCATGATGGGATGGCCGCTGTACGAGAGTATCTCTCCAAGTCCATGGACCTCAGTGACGAAGAAAGGTAAGAGACCACTCTGTAATCCCCTTTTATCTATGTTGTTTTTGTTGTCTACTTTCTTGTTTGTTTTTGTTTTATTTGTGTAACTATTTGATATTGTTTTTACAGTAAATATTACATCAGTTTACTCAGTGACTTCAGCTGATATCAATTTCGGAGCTACCTTCCTAAGCCCCAGACTATATAGATAGATACCTGCGCTATACAAGACATCATTAAAGTCATTCACATCTCTAAATTGGCCACAGATTTTATTATTATTATTTATTATTTATTTATCTATTCATTTATGTATTTATGCAAATTGCAGGGGGAGGGGGCTTCTTATTCTGAATAAACAAACGGTTTGCTTGTTACTATTTTGATAGTCAGTTTGTGGCTTTGACTGTCATGCATATAGACTGTAGAGGGAAGCAGATAAGTTTGTATGCATTCACTAAGTTGCAAGTTTTGAGCCGCCACTTGCCTAACCGATTGCCAACTGGAGCATTTTATTGGAAAGATAAAAGCTCAAATATTGAATATTGAATGACTAAAAGTGGCATTTGCCTACCAAATAGCTTTGGGAGAAAATAGAACGGAAACAATAATGATCCCTCTATGACTGTTTCTTTTAATGCCATTCTCTTTATTCTTTGATATATTCCTTGGATCTTTTGCAATTTCTTTTTATATTAGATATTTTGATTTTATGTTTGAACTTAATGGCAAGGAGAGTTATTTTGCAGAATAAAAAGGATATTTACTCTCAAAATCTTTCTGATGTATATACCAAAATAGATAGATTTTTTTCTTCTTTTTTCTCGAGAAGCCAAATAAGATCTTCATTCCAGTGACTTAATTTGAATTCCTGATGTTTCACAGCTTTTACATCGAAGGAGGAGATAATGTTACACAGAAAAAACAAAAGTCAATTACACACACACACAAATAATCTGAAAAGCAATAATAAGAGTAGTCAAAATAACATAGAGGGTAAGGAGTAAAGTTGTCTTGCTTTTAGACTGTAGGTGGCAGCAAACCACTATATCAGACAGTCTGTCACTCCCTTACCTCAGTGTGTAATGATTATCGCTCGCTTGCCTACTCTCTAATCTTATTACATGCTAGAAGTCTCTCCTAATGCGTAGTTGGGCCGGGGTTTTCATGCTTCTTTTGGCATTTACCTCCGCACTTGAGATTGGAGATGGGTGTAAACATTTCTCTCTCGCTTGGTTGTTAGCTCTCTTACACGCTCTCTCTTTCTTCCTCTCCCTCTCCCTCTCTCCCTCCTCGTTCTGTCTCTACCTCTCTTTCTCCTCCCTCTCTCTCCCTCCCTCCCTCCACTTCCTTGTTGTATATCCTCCTGCTCCATCTCTGTTCCTTTTGTTTCCTTTCTCTCTCTTTCTTCCTCTCCATCTCCCTCTCTCCCTCCTCGTTCTGTCTCTGTCTCTCTTTCTTCTCCCTCTCTCTCCCTCCCTCCCTCCACTTCCTTCTTGTATATCCTCCTGCTCCATCTCTGTTCCTTTTCCCCCTTCCTCTCTCTTTCTTCCTCTCCCTCCCTTTTCGTTCTCTCTCTCTCTCTCTCTTTCCCTTTCTTGCTCCATTCCCTACCTGTATATCCTCTTTCTCCATCTCTGGTCCTTTTTTCCCTTCCTCTCTCTTTCTTCCTCTCCCTCTCCCTCCTGGTTCTGTCTCTGTCTCTGTCTCTCTTTCTCTTTCTTGCTCCATTCCCTACCTGTTTATCCTCCTCCTCCATCTCTGCTCCATTTTCCCTTTCTCTAACAATACAAAATGCAATGCGTTTCCTATTCTCACATTACTTCCTACTTATGATTATATTGATGATATGAATAGGGTCTGCACAGTGTGAACTGTGTTTTCATTGGGCTAAGTGCAAGGGATTTCCAAACGATGAAAGGGATTGTTAGGTATCCAAAGTGTGAACTGGCTACCCATTTAGGATAATGCATATATATAATTCAAGGTACTGAAAGATTGTATGTACACCGTACATGTATGCAAATTTGAATGGGTTATTCATAATGTGAAAACTAGGGATTTGGCATGTGATTTGTTGACAGTTTGATTACGTAGTAGGTCTCTGTGTAAACGGGTTATAATGAAAATGTTTGTCATATTGAAATAAGCACAGGGATAAGTCTTATGATAGGAATTGATGCAATTTCAATGTATGACATTTGAAATGTGAAACGGGTATTCCATTAAAGGAAATTGCAAGATCTTTGAACTTTTGATAGATGTCAGGAGGTAGCCATAAATGTGAAAGGGGTATTCATTCATTAAGGAGAATGGTAGGGATCTGTGATGTTGAAATAAGCACAGGTGTGAGCTAGGCTAGAGAATGTCACAAGCTCACAGAAAGCTAGAGCTCTACCAGTCAGCTAGGAATGAATCTACCTGCTAGCACTAGGTGTGAGGCCAGATGGACAAGCTGCAATTTCTAAATGGATTTTTTAAGGGGGCAGTCAAGTTTGGTCTTTAAATAAAAATGCCATGTAAAGACTGATTTTTTCTTTAGTTGATTCCTACTACATGTACATGTACATCATGTACAACTTCAAGTATACTCTAATTTTCAAGTTTTTGATTTTGCTGGATTTTTGTTGAATTGTGGAATATGCTTAATATGAACAATTGTATATATATACTTTTCTGCAGGAAAGACCTAAAATAGCAAAGAAGAACAAAATATATGAACAAACAAGGAACAAAACTTTTTTGTATCGTTTGCACCAAAATATGACCATGATTACAACCTCTCAATGATTAAAGGGCAATAAACATTTACCATTAATTTATCAATTTGTATAATACCACAAATAATTATTGAATTGAAAACATTCAAGATATTTCATTATTTAATTTGAATAGTCATTTATTTCATAATTAAGTCGATAATACATATGCTAGAAGTTAAAAAGGTGTATTTGAAAGAACACTCCATTGACTTTGTGCCTCTAGATGCACTGTACGCATACACCTAGGACCTCTAAGGTTTCCTCTCGTTTGGTCAGCTAATCATATACCACACCTGACGAAAACAGAATAAGAGCGCTCGGATCGTACGATGCTCGAAACCCTCCCCTACGTAATTTACATGTGACCCAAAAGGATGAAATTTCATTCTTAAAAGTTCTATTTACAATGTTCACACCTCTCCCTCTATACGTGCCTTATTAGCATTGACAGGTCTCTTTGCTTTAGGCAGTGTGTCACTTTCCCCATCTCTTCCAATCAAATTTGCTACGTTTATATTCTTTTGATCTATATTTTCAAGTCTGTTGACTAGATATTCTTTTTTTTTATCTTCCTGTTTTCTATTCAACTTATTTCCTGTATATTTAGGGTGTTTGAGGAAAGAAAAAATCACCAGATGTCTTAATGTTTATATTATGGATCTACACTCTTTGTTTAAATTAGTATTTCACCTGATTTAACTTTAGTCGGAAGAATCCACTCTCAAATATTCCACAATGCTTCTCCTCTTGGCAGAGTTGTCAAAAAGCCCTTAGTATAGCACCAAAATCTATGACACAAAACAGAAAACCGTAGACATATTGAAGTATTTGTACAGTAGAAAGGTATAGTATTGAAGATATAAATTCCATCCAAATTATCTCTTTTCAATGCACACAAATTCAGCCAAGGGTTGAGGCTCTTAAAATATTCTGATTTCCTGAATTGAGTAAGCTGAAGATAAGAGCCTCTCTATCCTTTGAAAGGTCAGAGAAGAAATGCAGGACACTGGCTGAATTCTGGGAAAAACCTACTGAATCTAGCTTCTAAAATGTCCCTGCTTATACATGCTTGAGTGAATCAAAGGTACAACCAAAGCAACCAGAGTATAACACCATCTTTACTCTTATTATTATTTTCAGAGCCAATTATGTTGACATACCAATGTTTCACATATCTTTCATTCAGATGAGTGTGGGCATTATCTGTTCCTTTCTCAATCCAACTAATTCCAAAGTTGTCTTTACATGTACATTACATTGGTGGTAATCGCTGGGTTGCCCCCTGAATGACAGAAAAGGAAATTAATTTTACCACGGACTGCTAAAACACAAATTATTCAAGATTTTGACAGTGAGAAGGTTACCTCGGTATTTCTGCCAGGCCTGTAGTATTTGTTTCACTGCTTATTGATATCAACCAATTGTGAAGTGGTTTAAACACTGCTTTTAATGGTTATTGAATAAAGGGCCTACCTCAACATGAAAGCCCATATAAGCTGATTATTAGCTCCGTATTGACTGCCAGCAATAACAATGGATGGTTTTAGCAGATGTATAGCCATTAATTGTTCCATTGTTTAATTATACTGATTCTAAAAGAAACAGTGTTTTATACATCGTCATGAGCCGAGTGCTGTATTGTCTTGATATTTGGGTCTTGGCTAAAGCACTTTAAGGTCCATTTTCTGTGCCTTAGCCTTGGTCTTGGATACCTTATTATCCTTGGTTTTGGACATGAGCGCCTTTACTACAACTCTGATTGATGGTGATAATAAAGTTAACCGCTGACTGCTACAACCAATGTGAGCCGTGGGGACGTGACTAAAGTGCGGCAGCCCAGTAGCAGAGGCCACTGACCATGTTGAGTGACCACGCTGAGTGACCATGCTGAGTGACCTAGCTGAGGGAGCTAGTTCATGATTTATTCATTCTGTCACCTGTGTTCCCATGCTACAATGGTCAACTAATACCCTAGCTCTGAAACTCTAGCATAATAATGCTCCATTTCTCATTTTCTTTATATCTATATGTATTTTGTAATGATTTTACTTCTGTTTCCATCTTATAGACCTCCCCCATAATATACTTGTATCTCGTTTCGTTTTCTCTTTGTTTCTCTTCCTTTCTTAGTAATCTGGCTTAAAAATATACCTCATCCATTTAATTTTTTCCACATTATATTTCTACGTTTCCCACTCTTAATTTTTCTATTCCGTTTCCGTTTCCATTTCATTTCATATCTTTCTTTCTTTCTTCCTCTCTTTTCACCGTCCTTATTCTCTGTTTCTCACCCTCTCTAGCTGTCTCTCTCGCTTTCCCTTCACGTTCTCTCTCTCTGTCTCCCTTTCTCTCCCTTTCTCTCCCTCTCTCTCTCTCTCCCTCCCCCTCTCTCTCTCTACCCTTCCTTGAAATGTCAATGATAAGGTGTCCATTGATTGAGGTACTAGCTTAGACTTGTTGCTGCATTCAGGGGAATAATTGCACTT